CCCCCACTCTGGCCCTGCCCCTGCCCTGGTGAGCCTGACTGGGACCCTAGCCCCACTGGGCCCCAGTCTCTGGGCCCAGACCCGCAGCACTCACACTCGCACTCGTAGTGGTAGTTGCAGGGGTCGCTCTGGTTCTGCACTTTGACCGGCTGATACTGGTTGGCGCAGGACACTTGGGCCACTGGCTTCGGCTCCAGTAGAACAACACGGTTGTTGCCCTCACACTTGGCCACGGTGCAGTCTGCCAGGGTCCAGGTCTCGTTCACCTGCCGCAGAGAAGGGCTCACGTGACCCACCCAGCCACGGCTGCCGTCCGTCTGCTCCTTCCGCCCGGCTCCTGCCTGCAGCTCCAGGTACCCAAGGACTTCTGGCCCGTGTGCTAACTGGGGCCTGGCTTCCTGAGCACTTCCCTCAAGCCAGAGCCGCTGAGGACAGGGGACCAAGGCAGGGCCCATGGGGGCGGGGCCAGTGGAGGCCATGACCTTGTGAGGACCCTCAGCAGGCTGGGGCAGGGCTGAGGTTGTGGCTCTCATAGCCACCCCAGTGGCTCAGACCCTGGGCACAGCAGGAGCAGGTGGAGGGAGAATGCAGGGGACTTACCTGTCTGGGAGGGGTGGTGTGGTCACAACCTGGAGCAGGGGTGGGCGAGGGCGTGATCATGGGGGCAGAGGATGGTACCACAGAGGACTCGGGTGGCAGAGTGGTGGGGCAGGGGCCCTGGAAGCGGTCGATGTCACACTGCTGGTTGCAAATGGCGTAGAAGTGACAGCCAGCCCTGTCGGTTTTATTGTACATGACGTCCCCTGGAGAGGAGGAAAGCCACACCCGTTTCAACCAATGGTGTGAAGGCTGGACAAGCCATGCAACTGTCCATCTGGACACAGACCTCACCCCAGCAGAAAAATCAACTGCAGCTGAGGAGTCACTGACCCAAATGAGGCAGAACAACAACTTCCAGGACCCGACACAGGAGAGAAGCCAGGGGGCCCTGGGTTTGGAGATGAAAGTCTAGATGCAACCCCAAAACCGTGATCCGTAAAAGAACAACGTGACCAGATGGCCTTCATTTGAGTTCAAAACCTCTCCTCTACAAAAGACATGGGCGGCCAGAATGAACGTCCGTCCTGGGAGAAGGGCGGCCAAAACGCTCCTTGGAAGCGAGAACGGCCAGACTTGGTCTCGGCTACTTTGGTCACGTTGTCAGAAGGGACCGTTCTCTGAGAAGGATGTCATGCTTGGTAAAGGGGAGGGCCAACGAAAGAGGGGAAGGCCCTCAAGGAGATGGGCTGACACAGTGGCTGTCCCGATGGGCTCAGGCAGAGCTAGGATTGTGAGGCTGGCGCAGGACCAGGCAGGGTTTCTTTCTTTCGCTCACAGGGTCACTATGAGTTGGAGCCGACTCAATGGCACCTAACAACAACAAAAGATGCTGTTAAGAGATGAGCGTGGCCCAGGAGAAAAGACTGGCAAGACACACGTCCAATAAGGAGCTGTATCCAGGATGTAAGAAGAGCCCCCGACAGCAGAGAGCTAGAAAACAAACCACCCAGCTGAGAATGGGCCAAGGATCTGAACAGACACCTCACCAAAGAAAACACAGCGGACAAACAAGCACATGCCATTCGTTGTTACCAAAACTCACCACGTGGATCAGATTCCACCCACAGCGCCCCTAGAGGGCAGAGGGCTGCCCCGCAGGGTTTCTAGGCTGTCAATCTTCACGGAAGCAAAGCCCAAACCACACCCACTGCTGTTGAGTTGATTCCCACCCACAGCGCCCCTAGAGGACAGAATGGAACTGCCCACAGGGCCTCCAAGGCTGTCAATCTTCACAGAAGCAAAGCCCAAACCACACCCACTGCCCTGGAGTCCATTCTGACCCACAGCGCCCCTAGAGGACAGAGTGGAACTGCCCACAGGGTCTCCAAGGCTGTCAGTCTTCATGGAAGCTGACTACCTCAGTTTCCTTGCGTGGAGCAGCTGGTGGGTTCAAACTGCTGACATATTGGTTAGCAACCTAATGCTTCAGCCACAATTGCAAATTAAAACCCCAACGATAGGAGATACCACTACAACTTATTCATTGTCATTGTTAGGTGCCATAGAGTCAATTTTCAACTCAGAGCCCACGCCACGTGACAGAGTCAAACTGTCCCATAAGGTGTCCTAGATTATGGGAGCAGGTCGCCATGTCTTTCTCCCAGGGAGGCACTGTATGGGTTCCAACCACCCACTTTCCAGTTGGTAGCTGAGCACTGAGCCACTGCACCACCAGGGCTCCTTACACACCCATCAGAATGGCAAAGTCCAAGTCACTGACGTCACCAACTGCTGGAGAGCACGTGGGACAGCAGGGGTCTCCTTCCCTGATGCTGGGAACACACAGTGGCACAGCCCCTCTCGGGGACAGTGTGGCTCCCTCTCCGTCCCCAGAGAAGCCCAGCCACACACTGCTGAGTGACAGAAGCCAGTCTAGTCTGCAGGACCACATGCTGAATGGCCCCAACCACATCCCATTCTGCAGAAGGCAGAACACAGGAGCCCTAGTGGTGCAGGAGTTAAGTGCCATGCTCTTAACCTAAAGGTGAGTGATTCGAACCCACCAGAGCCCCACAGGAGGAAGATGCCACAGTCTGCGTCTGTCACAATTCAAAAACCCTACTGCTCAAATACCATTTGACCCAGCCATCCCATTACTAGGTATATACCCTAAAGAAGTGAGAGCCATAACAAGAACAGATATATGCACGCCGATGTTCATCGCAGCACTATTTACAATAGCCAAAACTTGGAAACAACCTAGATGTCCAACAACTGAGGAATGGATAACCAAACTTTGGTACATTCACACAATGGAATACTATGCAACGCTAAAGAATAATGTAGAATCTGCAAAACACCGCATAACGTGGATGAACTTGGAGGACATTATGCTGAGCGAAATAAGTCAGTCACAAAAGGACAAATATTGTATTACTCCGTTATTGTGAAAGTTAAGGAAAGGTTTATCTATTGGAGGACATTTTCTTTGTTGGTTACCAGGGGTGGGAGGGAAGGGGAGGGAATGCTGTTAGATAGATAGAGATAAATATTGATTTGGGTGAAGAGAAGGGCAATGTACCAAATGTGAGTGACCAATATGGCAGCATTGAGGATGAGAAAGACAGAGAGAGTTACATGGGCAGTACAAACAACAAATATGAACCCCTTTGTAAATACAATACTGAGTTGTCAATGAAAGCAAACATGGGTATAGGGACGGATAGATGGGTGAACAAGCTAAACAATTATGTATGTCTAAATGGAGAGTGTATCCAAGATCATATACAGGGTTGGCAGATAATGGGCCTCTCGAAGAGTATGAAGGGATGGACACTGGGAGGAGGTAACTATGGGGAGGAAGTGGGAGGGGAGCTGCTGCATTGTAAATTTTGGTCAATGACATGAGACAAAGTATATGTGAACTGCTGTATGAAAAGTGAATTTACTCTTAAACTCTTCCCCCAAACCCAAAAAAAAAAAAAAAAAAAAAAACCCTACTGCTGTCCAGTCGGTTCCGACTCACAGCAAACACCCCTAGAGGACAGAACAGAACTGCCCCCTAGGGTTTCCAAGGCTGTAATCACTATGGAAGCAGACTACTGCATCTTCCTTCCACAGAGTGGCCAGTGGGTTGACCTTCTGATTAGCAGCTATCAGCCTTGAACACCTAGGGAGCCCCATCCTCAAGGTTGCTATGAGTGGGAATCACTTTGATGCCAATGAGTTCTGGTTTTTAGGCACTATTTTCCAAAAGTCATATGCAGACAGGGAAACCACACCCAGGCTGAAAAAGTGGTCAGCGCTCCCAGCCCTGTGTCAGGGAGGGGCCAGGAGAGGGGAGAGACGAGGGGAGGGCAGGGAGCCACAAAGACTGCAGGGTGCCCACTGCCCTGGGACCCCAGTGTGGCTGGTGGAGGACAGCCCAGGCTCAGGACACTACAGAGTTTCCTACCTGCATAGGCCCAGCCCCAGGCTGCCTGGGACAAGGAGAGGCTTGGAGTACTCACCTGGAGAGAAGAGATCTCCAAAGGCCTGGCAGTAACAGTGCTTGACGGGCGGCAGACTGGGAGAGGAGGTGGGCCTCAGAGAGGTGAGGAGAGGTATGGGTGAGGGTGATGTGCTAGATGTGCTCAGGCTGGGAACAGAGCTCCAAGAGCCTGCTGATGAGGTTGGTGGGGCCACAGAGCTGGTGGCCCCAGGTGTGGAGGATGGCAGGGTAGTCCCAGTCTTGGTGGCCTGAGGTGTGGGGGATGGCAGGGTGGTCCCGGGGCTGGTGGCCCCAGCTGTGGGGGATGGTGGGGTAGTCCGGGTGCTGGTGACCTCAGGTGTGGGGGATGGCAGGGTAGACCCAGTGCTGGTGGCCCAAGGTGTGATGGAGATCAGGGTGGTCCTGGTGCTGGTGGTCCCAGGTGTGGGGGATGGCAGGATGGTCCCGGGGCTGGTGGCCCCAGTTGTGGGGGATAGTGGGGTAGTCCGGGTGCTGGTGACCTCAGGTGTGGGGGATGGCAGGGTGGTCCCGGTGCTGGTGACCTCAGGTGTGGGGGATGGCAGGATGGTCTCAGTGCTGGTGATCTCTGGTGCGGTTGGTGAAGGGGTGGTCTTGGTGCTGGTGGCCTCAGGTGTGGGGGATGGCAGAGTAGCCCGGGTGCCGGTGGCCTCAGGTGTGGGGGATGGCAGAGTAGCCCGGGTGCCAGTGACCTCAGGTATGGGGGATGGCAGGGTGGTCCCGGTGCTGGTGACCTCAGGTGTGGGGGATGGCCAAGTAGCCCGGGTGCTGGTGACCTCAGGTATGGGGGATGGCAGGATGGTCCCAGTGCTGGTGATCTCTGGTGCGGTTGGTGATGGGGTGGTCTTGG